AAAAAAAAAAAAAAAAAAAGGAGGAGAAATTATATATGCATAAATGACATTCAGAGTCACCTTGAAAGAATGAGTCAGAGAGCATAAACTGAAACAGGGTACTTTTTGCATGCAGTTGCTTTATTTTGACCATTTAAGATAAAAAAATGTAATAAAAAATGGGTTTCAATAGTCATCAAGCATCCAAGTTTCAAAATTGAGAAAGGAAATTTATTTATTTATTTTATTTTTTAAAAAAAAAATAAAATTGGTAAGAGTCCAATCTGACTTGCTGGCAATGCAGATAAAATTTATTAAGGGTTTGATATAAAATGCATTAATTGGGTATACATACCCTCATGATAATGTGGTCTTTGAATTTATAACTCATAACCACCTGCAATCAGTCCACAAACTTGTCTCATTTCATAACATGGTGTTAAATGAGACAATTGTATGTGAAAGGGATAGTCATATTCTTGAAAACTAACTTAGAAAATAATTGCAAGGCACATATGTAAATGCCCAACACAAATATAATTTTATAACAAAATATATGTGTGTATACTTTTAAAATGAAATGTCGTACTTTCGAAAATGATATTAACAAAAGTATTAACATTTCGTAGCGTAAATATGTAATTTTGTATATAATGTATATAGCAGGTCGACCCGCCTAACGTTTAGGCTGCCTCGCACAAGGATTTGTGTTGTTTCTTATGCAATTAGGAAATGCACAGTCTCAAAAATAATATAGACAAAAGTATGACATAGCACAACTATACATCTTTTTGTATTTATTTTGGTTAAATTAGGGGACAAAATGACACCTCATTTTCTTGCTATGGTGAATAAGCTCATTGGTCCCTATATGCATACCTGTGAATTGCTTAAAGCCATCCAATCCACTTGGTAAATTTAAACACCTCAAACAACTTATTTCAGTATTGTAGACTTTTGTGACAACCTTATATTATGTGAACACAAATTTCATGAACAAAACAAACTGAATGAACCATTACATATCTTAAAAATCCTTCATTCAATAAGCACATTGAGAAAACATAACATATTGGTAAACACTCCATTATACATAATCAAAAGTGAAAAAAAGAATCCACAAAACCAAAAGAAAAAAAATCACCATTCGATCATCCTTTTCCATCCGATTTTTCAAGTTCTGCACGTTTTTTATACCTCGAAAATATAAATCTCACTATCTAAGCCTTTGCATTTATCCGCTTCGCTTGCTCGAGCTTGCCTAGTTGGCTGAAATTGCCGTTTCGCTTAAAGAGTTGCGTGTGGTGATGCCTGCAGTAAAGGCGGTGATCGTGCGCAACATAGTTCGAGGGGCTTATCACGCACCCTCCATGGACGCACTTGAAGCATGTCTTGTGATATGAAGATCCATCAACTGTGACCTGTCACAAATTTTCACACACACATTTTTTGAAATTACTCAAAACTTCCATTAAAAAATTCTTGAAAATTAATTACCTTTTCAAGAGGGTAAACTTTTTTGCTGCAAGAAATGCATTTATCCTGAGTTCCTGCAAATAAACTCAAAACTCTGTTGTTCACAGTCCCCTGATCGAGTGGCCTCTCGACTCTAGCAGCTTTCGGAGCCCCTGTCGAACGAGAAAGACAGAAGTTTGTACAATTATTGAAGATGAACTAAGTTATCGAAAAATGAGGATCTATACCAAACGTTATGTTTATTTCTTTTTAACCTTCAAAGCTCTTATCTAAGCTGCCGGTCATCTTGAACAGCTGATTGAAGTGAGGTTTGCAGTATAACACCCCTTCATAGGAACAGTAGTTACTAAGCTGCATAAACAATCAAAATATGTAAACTAAACCCAGAAAGAATTGCATATAGCTCCCCCTAAACTAGAGAAGCAGGGGTGTAAAAGCGAATTCGTGCAAAATATAGATGCCATTTAGAGAATATCAACAAAATTTATAGAAGTATGGATGATTAACTAATCCTTTTAACTCATAAATAGGGCAAAAAAGATATTATGACATTAATATTCATGATTGAAAGCCAAACTATGAGTATAACTGTATTGAAAACATCAAGAGAAAGAACTATTGATCTCCAAAGGCTCAAGACAAAATTTAGGAAACCCATTTTTTATCAAGATTAAAGAAAACTATCCAAGACATTGAACCCATTTTACATTACAACCCAACAAGATTTTCAGTAAGTAAAGCTAACTCTCAAAGCAAAGCATTATCTTCATTTCTGATGTAGGGAAAGCGTACCAGTGGGAGAGGTAAACGAGATACTCTCTCCATAAAACTCACAATCAATTTTTTTTTTTATTCAAAATCAACTCCACAGCAACAAATCATAAGATCCAATTAAATAAAAGCCTCAAATTGTACCCTAGCTTATTCTCCAAGCTACTAATTATTTGCTATAATAATAATAATAATAATAATAATAACAATAATAATAATAATAATAATAATAATAATAATAATAATAATAATAATAATTAGTCTCCACCAATTTCCCCCCTTTTTCTTATTAATTTTTCACAATAAGAAATATGAAAATGAACCAAATTAACCAAATATAATAACTGATAAACAGAAAAAGATGATAAAAACTTTACCTTTGTGATATGAAACAAAATTCAACATATAAATTGCATAAAGAGGTTCAAAGTTATGAAAAAATGAATAAAGATCAAACCTTTAGGGTCCCTTTGCAATGGTGGCATCTAAAACAGGCCCTGTGATAGACTTTGCCATCAGCTGTGAGTTGATCCACCAAATATACAGTCTTTTCACAAGCTTCACATTTATGTGTTGTCCCTCCAAAAGCTGCCATTTTTCTTGATTTCTTCACAACTCTTAGCTCAATTTGGATTTATGTTTTTTTAAAAAATAAGAATAAAATAAATAGCAGCAATTTGAATAAATTACTGATACAATCTTTACAATATTATTTCAAATTTCTGTTTTCTGAGTGCTATTTATAATAGTGTATGTTTTACAGGTGAGAGAATAAAGGAGGTAGTGCAGGAGGCATTGCCATGTGATTTGAAAAAATATATAGCCGTTTAAAAGAGACAACAAGATAAAAAAA